GGATGAGCCCTAGAGCAAACTCATACGCTTTGCCTGCGCATCTGGGGAGGAATACCGTCATGCTATGCATAGGCGGAATTTCGTCCCCCTTTTTCGCGCAGAGGATGGGGCCATTCCAGCCTGCTATCTTGGCAGCGATCTCCCTCAGCCAACAAGCCGACCATTCATCCTTGCAATCAACCTGCAGCATGCCTTCCTTAAAATATACCACATGGAAGGAGGCTTTGTATTCAGACCCTCTGAATACCTCCTCCATGAGTAAATCTCGGAGCACGGTGAGCTCCTCCGCTCCCAGCGCCTCCACCGGGTAGTTCAGCGGCAGCACAGCCATGCGAATGCCTTTGAGGGCATCCGCATACCTGCACTGTCCCTCCACTGGTCGAAGGAGCTGCCCTCGGCCCGCGGGCTGAGTTGCGCTTACTGGGCAGTGGCCTCGATTGCTGCCATTACGCTTTCTAATGGCCGCGGTGTTACCACCCTTTTGCTTTCTTGAAGCAGGGGAGGTGCTGTCACCTCTCACCCTGTTTCGCGCTAGGGTTTCGGCTTCCTCCGGAGTTCTTCTTTCCTGGAGGTGCCTCAGGTACCACTTCAGGCTGGCACCGCTCATTCCCTTTTTTCTGGGATCGTCCTGTCCTCCCGGACATCCCGTTGGTGGCAGGGGGATAGTCTGCCTCCCCTCTTCCTTCTCCGTTTATGAGCCCCACCGGTGATCGCCGTTGCGACTCCTCTGTATCCGAGCAGTTGCTCCTGCTCGAGAGAGTCTCCGTCGGGTTCTCTTTTTATTTTTCCGCAGCGGCCGCAGTAGAAGTCGCCTGCTGAGCGCCGCTGCACGAGGGCATGCCATCATCGTCATCCCTGGCATGCTCCTCGAACAGCGCTCGCTCCTCTGGCGAAAGGGCGTCCAGGAAGCTGAACTTACGTTTAGTCCCTGATTCGCCCTTACCTGCACCGCTTCTCTTGTTGTTTCCGTTGTCCAAAGTCGTTTGCTGTTGTTGTTGCCGGGTTCCAATAGTTGTAGTTGTGGTTTTTGTTTTAGTTGTTTTGCTCATCTTTTTCTTACGAAGCTTTTGTATAGGGGAACAGAGAGTCCGCCCCCCCGGAGCCCCTTGACGGGGTAAGGCCACCGTTCCCAATACGGCCCGGTGTTGGGAAGGCTCCGTTATACTACAGCTGAATTTACCGACCTGCAAATCATCCAATGGGCACGGGAGTCGCATAACACCCTGGACTAGGAGGTGGCAGCTCTTGGTTGTCGCACGCATACGGCTTATGACAACTAGTGTGAGGGTGCAAGCATCGAAGCTATGAACAATTTCGGGTAATATAAATTAACATTAAAATATAGCAATAAAATTGAGTCTAAATTTATCGCCATTAATATAGGTAAAGAATATTCCAAATTTGATGGTAATTTATTCACGATTTCATCGAATAATGGATGTTGAATTCTTTCACAACATTTTTGTACTCTTGCCACATGTTGCTACAGAGTATAATAGTTTTGTTCACGTAACGGTTGTTTGTATCACCTAAAAATTATCGAGATGGATATAGAGTTATATATATATAAAAGATTATAATGACGAGACGCGTTGAAATCCGGATAACTGTCTGTCTGTCCGTCCGTCCGTCCGTGCAAGCTGTAACTTGAGTAAAAATTAAGATATCTTGATGAAACTTGGTACCGTAAGACAGTTGGTATTGCAGATGGGTGTAATCGAAAAAAGTTCAGTATTGAAGATGAGCTTAATCGGACCACTACCACGCCCACAAAACGCAATTAATCGAAAACCTCTAAAATTCCAGCACTAAACACTTAATTAAGATAGAAATCTGTGAATTGGTACAGGAAACTGCCAAAGGGCACCTGTGGGCCAAACATTTTTTAAAAGTGGGCGTGACCCCGCCTTCTAAAAAGTTTAATGTACATATCTAATGTATCATAACAATTATGGATGAAATCGGATTATAACCCCGCCCTCTCCCCATATATCGGACAAATAATAAATCAAATTTGGGCGATGGACGTAGCACCACCCACATTTTGGGAAAGTCCATATCTCGGAACTTACTCGACCGATTTAAAACAAATTCGGTACTTACCATTATCCTGAAAATCGTATGTTACATTGTGAAAGTAAACGTAATCGGACTACAAGCACGCCAACTTCCCATGTAGCACAATTTTAAATTCCATATGATTCTTTCATTTTCCAGTATACAGATCCAGAACGAATCCACGTATCCGGATAAAACGTTGTACAAATAGTGCCCTCAAGGTATTTCACGCCCAAAAATTGTCAAAAACGGATTATAACTTTTGAAGAACCCATACGCCAAATATGAGGACCCCAGTGCTTATGGCTGATGGTTTGCCGAAAATATCGGTCAATCTGTGAGTTATATTATATTATTGAAATTCAGGAAAAGCGTGCCTTTGATAATATTATATTATACCTTTGTGTCAAAATTGGGTAGAATCGGGCCAATACTTCCCTTAGCTCCCATATACTGAATATAAAGGTTTTCAAACTTCCAGTTGACTTTATATCACATATACCAAATAATGTGGGAGTTAGGTTAATGAATTTGAGAGAGTATATTTTTCTAATAACAGTGTATCTTTGTGCCAAAAATGGATAAAATATAGCGAAAACTTGTCTAAGTCCCCATATAACTGATATTTACGCTTTTGGAACTTTACTCCATATATATATATATATTTATATTTATATATTTATAAAATTGCTTGAAAATAAGTTCTCAAGTATACCTGAGCTACGTCAAAAATTTTAGTAATCAGCCTTTTCATTTCTCCCCCAATGATTTTAATATCATTTTCGCTGACGGGAAGTAAAATATAGTGATAAAACTAAGGGGGGCTATGACCTATAATACAAGGTGATTCACGAATCTTGCTACAAAAACTAACCGTAATAACTTTTTTAGACAATGCGTTACATTTAGTTTTTTTTGTTTTTTTTTTGTATAGCAAATTTCCTTTTTTTTATATAATTAATAATTTTTAAAAATTATGAACCGTAAATGAGCTCCATGCTCAGCCAAGTGTATACGACATCTAATTTGTAAATTATTCATTGTGACCTGAAGGGTTGATTGCCTCAATTATCGAGTTAATGGACAGGTCAGCTGACCTTGAGAGCCAGCGGAAAGTGGAGTTTCTTAATATTATTATGGATATAATTGGTTTATTTCTGGATTTCATTTACTCTATGGCAATTTTGCTTGTTTACATTTCCGTCTGGATCAAAATGTCTTCTTCGGCCATTTTAAAATTTTTTTTGTCAAGTTTGTTTTTGTAGCACGATTTGTGAGCCTGTATAATATACAATACTATAACATACAATTTGGATTATAAACCATTCACGATTTCGTCAAACAATGAAGTTGAACCCTTTACCTACATTTTTTAATATTACCCACAACTAAACGTATTTTGCCGGTTTTGACCCTTGCAAGTTGCAAGAGTATGAAATGTCCGATTACACCCGAGCTTAGCCTTTTCTTACTTGTTTTATTTACTACAGTTTAGCCATATGTCGCACAGAGTATGGTATAACTCGTTTCGTAAGCCATTGTTATCTTTTCTAAAATGTTAAAGACAATGTAAAAAGAAAAGAGATATAATATTTCGAAATTAGCGTTGTATTACTTCGCATAGTTGAATATTCATATACATACTCATACGGATTGTCCAATAACACAAGGTCAATTCAAATACCATATCATAAGAATTTCGATACGTGGAGTCCAACTCTCTAAAAAACAAAAATAAAAGTACTCTTCAGAGTTGCATTTTGTAGCGTTGCCTATTAAAATAATTTATACGATCGTGAAGATATTTTGTCAATTAAAAATTTTTCCACACAAGAACTTGATTTAGATCATTCAGTTTGGATAGCAGCTATATGCTATAGTAGACTGTGTTCAGTTCAAAGATTGTAGCAATAATCTACACCTAATTTGGGGAAGATATTTTGACAAATCATATTATATGTTATTTATCGGGTGTCCTTGTTTAGGGTATAAAAACTTGTCTAATGTTACATATTGTAAGGGATTTGAGAAAGTGGTTGGGAATTTGTGAAATGAAAAGCAATGTTTGTGCGAATTCGAATCGTTTGGATGCTGTAAATATATCAAATTTAATCTGACCCTTAGTATACATATGCTTTAGCCTTAGGCTGGCTGACTTCATATCGGAATCATCGGAATATGTAAACCATGTGAGTTTGCATGAGGGGCAATTTCGTCATAATTTCGTCAGAGCGGAAGCGAGTCGGAGTTCCGTTGCCTTCATGCTGTTGAGCTCATTGAACTGAAGCTGAAACGTCTTGGGTGTGATACTTTCGACATCCGGAATTAGCTGTTTTGTTACATTTATGATAGGCGCCGAAAAACGTTTTCTTTACACATGAGGATTTTTAATTGATATAGAGTAGAATTTTTTATATTACAACTGATCGATCTTTAATTTTCCAAGTTTAATATCAGAAATGTGCTGTAATACTCAGCTTGAACTGATATTATAGACTTTGAATGAAACTACTTCTAATGAAAAGACATGGTGAAATTGATGGTTGCTCAACTGGCAGAACTTCGGCTACAAGGCCTTAGCGGAGATTTTAATCTGGTACCACGGGAAGCAGAAAGCCCTTGGACATCGGTCCAATCTGCTAATTGGGTTTGGCCCTTTGGAGATATTTGTGGTGGCTGTGGTTTAAACCTAATGCTGGAAGAACCGAAAAGCTCAATGTGAAGTTGTATAAGCCGGGTGCCGGACCCATAGCACTTCAGAGATCTTACCGGATCACCTATGGAATATTACTTTCTCAACTACACTCATAGCATTACTGCATTAAGTACATATTACACTATTTATTATTATTAATGCTTTCAAAAATGAATATACCCCCATACTCACATATTTTTAATAATACTAATATATATTCGCTGTTTTTTTCTTAACCTACTTACAGCTTTACAATTATGGCGTACTGTTGGGCTCTTCTACCGGGCGAGCGTCCATCATTCGCTCAACTAAACGCCTGTCTCTCGGAGTTTTATGCGCAAGTGACGCGTTACGTGTAAGCCGATGTGTTTGGTACTCCCTGGCCAATATTAGACTGTACTTTTGCTTCCGTATTCAAATACTATGTATACATAGGTACATACTCTAACGCCAAATTATATTTATTAATAAAAATTCATTAGTTTTAGGATTATTGCACAAAGCTTAGATATTGAGACCCTACGTAGATATTTTAAAGTTAGTCATGAATTTTTAATAAAATAGAATTGGGTAAATAAGAGATTATAAAAGTGTTTCAATATCCAATTATTTATAAGTATTTAAAATTATTAAATTTATAACTATACAAACATACGTTTATAAAAACCTTATATACTTGTATAGTTATACCTATACAGAAAATTCAAATTTAAGCATTCGCAAGAACATTCTTTGGCATTTATTTTTTGATGGTCCATCCGTTTAGTCCAATTTTCGATGACTCGTTAGAGCATTTCAACTGATAACTGGCAAATGACACGAGTGATGTTTTGCTCCAAGCCTTGAGTCGAAGCGGGTTTGTCCGCATAGACTTTAGACTTTACCCCTCAGGAGTGTTTTCTCAATAAATCTATTGATTGATGCGAAGTGGTTCCGGCCCACAAACCACACCAAACCGTTGTTTTTTCTGGATGAAGTGTTAACTCTTGAGTATCTTCAGGTTACTCTTCGTCCCAAATGCGGCAATTTTGCTTGTTTATATACCCATTGCTCCAGAAATGGGCCTCATCGCTGAACAAAATTTGGCTCGAAAACGTCGGATCTTCTTGGAACTTTTCAAGAGTTCATAGAGCGAAGCGATGTTGCTTGGGAAGGTCGAGCGGCTTCAGTTCTTGCACAATCTTTATTTTGAATGCTTTCAATTTAAGGTTTCGACATGGGTCAAGTCGTTCCATACGTCAGTCCGAGTTGCAGCGAACGGCGCCGAATCGACTCTCAACGGTCTTCGTGTACACTCTCAGCTACGGCTGCTATATTTTTTTTCACTGCGTGCTGAACGTGGTTTATTCGGTCGAATATTACCCAATAATTAATGCTGGGTCTCAAGATGGGTGATGGTGTTGCGAATAGTACGCTCAGTAGGCCGATTATGTTGACCATAAGTTGAGCGAAGTGCGCCAAACACATTCTTTACAGATCGTGAATTTTTGTAATAAAGTTGAACGATTTGTAAACGTTGTTCAATCGTAAGTCTTTCCATAAGGCAATGCCTAATAATACTGAGCAAAATAATATAACAGCTTGACGCGACTCACGCGTGATCTGTCAAAAAAGGCTATTGAAAAAAGTACCTCTATTTGGATCACCCGTTATAAGTTTAAACAGGCATATATATATATATATATATGTTTGTATAAGGATGTAGTTAGTTGAAATGGCTTACAGTTGCAAATATCTGAAATGAATTTGTTCATTTTGTACATCAAAGACTCATATTATGCAATCTTCTTTATTTCGTTCGTGTATAGTGATAAATCCTTGTAAAATTGTACGTGTTTTTTTATAAAAACAATTATAAATTAAGCAAATAAATAGTGATAAATAGTAAACTGTAATAAGTCGTAAATAAATTTTTTAATAGTGTAAGCACTAATACATATATACATAATAGTATACCCGTATAGCCGCATGGCGTTATTTAACGCGTTGAAATATAGTTAAACGTGAATTTTAAGTAAATATAAATCTTGTTACCCGCTTAACAAATTATACAGTATACATACGTTCATATATATGGGATAAATGTAAATAATAAATTTTTACAATGGTTAAATCAAAGTTTTTTACAAGTTATTTGTGTAATTTAATATAATAAATTAATTTAAATTGTAAACTGAACATCAAACTTGTTTCATTTAGAATAAAAACATCGCCTCATCAATATCGCTCAATTGCCCGGTTCATTGATTACTCAACCCATCCAGTATTTTAGCCAAGGCACCAACTGACCGTAAAGATTTATTGCCCCAACCCTTAGTGATTTACATATCACTACTATTTAATGTACCTTTATTTTTAATATTGTTATGTTTTGTCACGTCAATAATTGTAAATTGAAATTCTTGTGTGATCTAAAGTTGCCATTTCGCGTTTTATGTAGCAAGTTGGCGAGGAGGAGAGTGAATAGTACAAACTATACAGGTTGTTCAGAGTAACTGGCAGCTTAAGTGTATCCCTGCGCTAACATGTCCATTGACACATACGCAATTGTGCTGCGCTAGTTTTTTGATGCAGAAAGATAGAGAGCAAAATAATGCTGAATCGAAGACAACAAATCTAATTCATTACTCAGGGACTATTATTCAGGGATATTTTATTATACTCTTGCAACATGTTGCTACTGAATACAATAATTTTGTTAACTGTTGTTTGTATCACCTAAAACTAATAGATACGGAGTTATATACCATATATTATATATAAATGGTTAGGAGAGGAATTGAAATACAGGTAAAGGTCTGTCCGTCCATGCAAATTGTAACTTGAGTAATAAATAATATATTTTGATGAAAGTTAGTACACATGTTCCTTATGCACCATTATGTAATGTTTAATGTTTCCATTTGTGCCTACTCATCATATAACGGTTTTGTTAAAAATTATTATAAGTGCCATAAATGAATAACTAGGTGCCATAATCGTAAGATATCCAAGAAAATTATGTGAAAATATAACACTGGATATATATAGTTGAATGCCGCAAATGTGAGAAATTGGTCCACGTATTTCCGCAGCCCCCTCATATTACCTATAATGATTTTCGTTATCTCAGCAGATTTTGTGCCCAATATGTCGGTCATTGTGTGAATTATCTTCACGAAATTTCATAGGAATCAGGGCCGCCGAGAGAAAAACCGGGCCCAGGGGTAAAAAGGTGGGGTCCATTCCATACAGGAATGTTTCTAATACTTTATAAATTTTATTAACTATCTTCCCACTTACTACTTCAATGTTTTTGGAAACTAAGTCAAATATGACGTAGTGTTTTATGCTATTATCATGTCTGTATTCGATTTGCTTTTTTGTTGATGTTGGGTGGAACAAATTTGTTTTGTACGATTTTGAAAACTACTAATGTATAAATGGTCAAAAATATTTTTTCCGATTATATGGGAATATATGAATAAAGGAATAGCAAGACTTGACAGTTAATATGAAGACAGAGACATTTCATTCAAACATTTATTTATCGACCTAATTAATGAAAAAAACGGTTCTTTCGAAATCTGTTCACGATCATGACTAAGTTTTTGAATATGCAGTTTAAAATCCTCCAATTTTACAATTATTTAGAATTAAGAAGTGAGATTTTCGAGCCTTGGCGGCAGCGAATGCGTCGATAATAGTCTGGAAATCCAACTCCTTGGCTAATTCTGCCTCTAGGCACAGTGTAGCTAGTCCTGAAATCCTACCTTGAAATGCAACGGGAGAAATGCAAAATATTCTCAAAGCGATGCAAATATTTGGAAAATATGGAAATATTTGGTCTTCCTAATTTTCCAGCATTGATGGCATTCAATATATTGAATAAAGTAAGGTGGGTTTTGAAATTTGAATCGTAAACGTGTCTGAGCCTGAATTTCGCCCATTTTCGCACTATGGCATAGAAACATGAAAAGAACGTTATGCATTAAATTTGGTTGAAATCGGTTAAGCAGATCTCAAGATATGGGTTTTCACCTAAAAGTGAGCTGTGCCACGCCCACTGTCTAATTTTGAACACGGTTCCTATAAAGTCATCTTATACCATCCCAGAGATAAAATTTAATGTCTCTGGCGTGTTTAGTGCTTGATTTATCGCGCTTCTAGTAGTTTTTAACAATACCGTTATGTGGGGAGTGGGCGGAGTTGCCACCCGATTTCAACTATTTTCACACCGTCAATAGAAGTGCTAAAAACATTTGCTTCCAGTGAATTTTATTATTATAACATTAACGGTTTAGGAGACATGCACATTAAACCTATTAGGGGCGGGACCACGCCCACTTTAAAAAAAAATTTAACTGTAGATGCCCCTCCCTATTGTGATCCTGTATACCAAATAACAGTCTTGTATCTTATTGCGGAGCTTAGTTATGGCAATTTATTTGTTTTTGATTAATGGCGTTTTGTGGGCATGGCAGTGGTCCGATTACGCCCATCTGCAATACCAACCGTCTCACGGTACCAAGAAACATGTCTACCAAGTTTCATAAAGATATCTCAATTTTTACTCAAGTTAGAGCTTGCACGGACGGACGGACGGACAGACGGACGGACGGACAGACAGTCTCCCGGATTTCAACTCGTCTCTTCATCCTGATCATTTATATATACATAACCCTATATCTAACTCGATTAGTTTTAGGTGATACAAACCACCGTTAGGTGAACAAAACTATTATACTCTGTAGCAACAGGTTGCGAGAGTAATCAAACGAGTATACCATTTGACTTTGCGAGAGTATAAAATGTTCGGTTACATCCGAACTTAGCCCTTCCTTACTTGTTTTTGCATGATTTTGGAAAATATTTATTTTCTCTTAATAGACCGAACCGCTATCGTTTATATTCAGTACGATTGTGAGTGAAAATGTCCTCCTTAATCTGATATTACTAATTTTTACAAAAACAATATTTTTAAAAATACAAACAATTTTCTTAAACAAATTCAATTATAGACAACGTCTCAATCTCTTTAAAAAAATGTTCATAACGTATTAGTTTTTATTTAATGAAGAACCATAAACAATAAAATATGAAAACTTTCACCAAAAGGTCTCCCCTGTTTTTCTTTTGCCGCGCAGCAATAAATATTGTAGCTTCTTCAAATAAATATTTATGATCAAAGAATCGACACGAGCAACGTGAGCGGTGCACTGGTTTCGATCACATAGCATGATAGTGTGCATAATTCTCTATTTCTCTGCTGCAGTTATTTGCTTGCTTGAACATCCTCTTCATCTTCTTTCATTTGATGGTGTTACTCACTGCGGCGAATCTTCTCTTTATTCCATTTAAAGCATTGTAGTATGATAACCGTGTTTCTTTTGAATTCAATTTCTTCTTTACTGCAATTCTTATCCACTTATTCATGTTGCAAAAAGATCCAGGGGAAGACGATAATTTCCGCTTTTATCGGGAAAATTGCGGTCGGTAAAATCGCGCGATCTTGAACAGATTGCCTCTTTACCACATTATTTAACACACATTTTTCTACATTATTTATTTGTTAGCAAATGACGGAATTTAACAAGGA